CCACTGACCTCTGCGATACTTCTCGATGCCAGACATTAAAAGTTTTTTCTCAGAAGTTGGTGGCGGTAGATCTTCGAGGTTAAGCAGGATACTGTATATTGCTTTACATGAGAGTGAACAGGTTGAGGTAGGAGGCGTAACTGGGTCTTGGGAATTTTCTTGCAATAGTTTTTTTCCAATTTTGTGGAATAGAAGAAAGAATACTATAATATTGCAAAAAGTTACATTTTACATTGAATTTATTGCGAAAAGAATTAAATGAAAGGAATTGACCCTCACAGGAGTCAAAAAGGTCCGAGATTTGTTTTATTCCAGCTTGATGCCAATGAGGAAAGAATACCGTTTTCTTATTCACAGTTAAAAATCGATTATTCCAGATTGGCTGTGAGAGAACCTCAGTTTTATTTTTAGGTGTGGTCGTTGCAATGTCCTGCCAGTAAAAAATGATTTCTCTGTAGAAAGGAGGAAGATGGTTGTCTAGGTCAAGGAGATTATAATCATAGTTACATTTAAACAGTTCTGTACCGCCAACATCGGCTAGGAGGGATTTTGGTATGTACTGCCATGGAGCATCCGAGTTAGAGCATAACCGTTTTACCCAGTTTAACTTTAGTGCTTTATCAAAGAGAGAAAAATCCCTCATGTCCAAGCCACCAGCTGTTTTTTGCTTGAAAAGGGTAGTCTTTTTTATTTTGGCGGGTTTGTGATTCCAAATAAAGTCGAACACGATCCTGTTTACTTCTTTACTGAAGTCTTTAGGGGTACACATGACGCTGCAGATAAAGACAAGTTTTGAAAGTGCCAATGTTTTAGTTATATTTATCCTACCACTGAGTTGTAAACTTACCAGAGGATACAACTTGTGCAACTTCCCTATTAAGGGTGTGAGCCATGAAGCCAATGGCACTGAAGATAACAAACCCTCCGCCCACACTGGTCGCGCAGTTGATGCACGATACCCAAACTGCGTCCCTGAAAACAGACACAAGTACGTCAGGTGTACATGAGCAATGAAGTGACATTCAAGTGGCCGAGATAGATTTTTCATAAGGAATTTTGTTAAACAATGTGACATCTATCCTTGGGTGGAGTCTTACGTTTTAAATTTCCTATAGGTGAACGAATTAAAGGCAATAACTCAGTGGCCCAGCTATTTTAAGCAGCATGCGATGTGTTGAAAAGAAAGCACTGTGTATATGGTATACTGTAACGTTTACAGTTGTTATTGAAATCATTATAGCTGGCATAGGTTAACAGGCCTCCAAGGCCCACACTAAGGGAGAAAAATATTTGGGTAGCAGCGTCGATCCAAACGTATAAAAAATAAACACAGCTTAAAAAAATTAACAGTGTTAATAAAGATAAAAACTGAGAGGTTTCACGGTAAAATAGACAAATGCTTCTGTGTGTATCAGAGCCCATTATTTTCTTTCTCACCTGTGGCTCTAAGAGCTTTTCGACGTCTGGTGTGACATAAAAGATGATCCCATCAAGTGCACCAGACAAAGTGACACCACGAACAAGCAAAATGCATAACACAATATAAGGGAAGATGACCATAAAGTAGGCCACCTGTGAACAGGAATGAACAAGGTATTAACCGAAAAAAAGGGACGTGATTAACCAGTGTATTACTTTGTAGTTATAAACCAATTCAGACTCATGAAATGATATTAACTACGTTTCTGTTTTCCCATGTCGCTTCAAGAGGTTACTAAACCTAGACTTCTTCTCTGTAAAGTGGGATATCTTGCTTGTCCGAGATGAGGTCATCCGAGAAAAACCAGACGTATATATACAACAAGATGAGGGAACATGGCTGGATTCGAAACGAAAAATTGATAGAAAATAGAATAACTGGAAGCGAAATACACCTGCAAAGCAGAACCTATAATTATATAGGCCACACTCGAAAAAACCAGAACTGAAGGAAACGCTAGATATTTCCGAGACTAACGGTCTCAGCAATATCTGGCGTCTCCTTTCTGATTTGTTGTCGCTTCTTTTGTGTTTAGTACCTGTCTTACTTAACTAGCATTTTGTAGATTAACTTCAATTGGAGATGGTGTCGCGAGGTGCAAAATAACACTAGATGTCGCGATGTAATCTCTTTGAGGCGAAAGGATTCATGTTCACGGCATGGGTAGCAGCGTCGATCCAAACGTATAAAAAATAAACACAGCTTAAAAAAAATTAACAGTGTTAATAAAGATAAAAACTGCAAAATAACACTAGATGTCGCGATGTAACCTCTTTGAGGCGAAAGGATTCATGTTCACGCGCTTACCGTTGTACTAAATGGTTCTAAATAAAGTGTGTACTTGAAAATCTGAACTACATCCCTGAGTAAAAAGACCGAGCTCTGATAAATATCTACACTAATAAAGTTACCTCCGCCATTTTTGTAACAGAGGTATGGAAACCGCCAGATGTTCCCAAGTCCGACGGTATAGCCGATACAGGAAGCTATGAAGTCAGCTTTCGAGGTCCATTTCTCTCGCTGTTCGCTCACAGCAGAGCTTTCTTCTACCTTTATAACAACGGGTTGAACCTTATTCGTCATATTTTCAACTTCTCACAAGAATTTGTGCTACATTTTACAAATACAAGCTCACACCTCAAACTAAATGTACTTCCTTGTTGAAACCAAACCGAGAAGTGATTATGATGTCATAGAATGTAATGAGGTAATTTGGTTCTGATGTCATTGATCAACTGATTATTATGGCGGAACGTTGAATGTAATCAACTAAAAAACCGTATTTTTTATTGATTGAACAACTCTGTGATGAATTTGCCTCCTTAATTTCATTGCTAAGCCCACAAGTTATCACCTTTCTTTGTTCTGTTTTCCCACATGACGCTTTCGTCATTTAATTGTTTAATGGTTGAGTCTGGCTGTATGCAGGACATAGTTCACATTTAAACCTGGTAATGGCCTGACTATTCACAGAGTTTCTGTGGCGCAGTATTTGATCACCAAAACGAGTATTACAATGGCCTCGTACACAAAAAGTCACAAAATGCAAGTGTTCAATGACTTACCTGAACCGTGGATAATACAAGAAAGGAAACGGAACACTACCGATCTTATGATGATTCATCTAAACATCAATAGCTGCCAAATCAAACTGGATGATCTGATATTACTCAACAAGGAATTGAAGTCACATGTAATTTTTCTGTCAGAGACTAAGATCGACTCTTCCTATACCAATGCACAGGTGGCTCTTGAAGGATATCATACCTACAGGAAGGATAGAAAAAAGGGTCATGGTGGCCTGATGGCATATTTCTCATCTAAGATGGTATCTCATCGTGTAAAGCTTCCTAAGCAGTATAAATTACTTGAAGTTCTGGCCATAAATGCAACAATAAACAACAATGATGTGTTGTTTGTTGGTATTTATCGAACCCCAAAAGTAACTGGCACTGATTGCTACCGTAAACTGGAAGAGGAATTTAATGGGCCATTTTACAGTTGTGTACTTAGTAGCCAAGCCTTTGATTCAGAGTGAGGCTAAAGATGACCTTGTCATGATAGAGACCCCTATCTAGTTAGCATGATAACAAAGTGATTTACATTTGAAAGGCAGCAAGGTTTGTATCATAACAAGGTCATCCCCAGCCTCCCTCCTGTTCAAAGGCTTGGCAACCAAGCACACAACCGTAAAATGGACTATTCACTGCGCATGTGGGCTACGATGGAATGTAACACACTCGTACTTACGGGAGACCTGAACCTTGACAGATTAAGACCAGAACGCACAGAAGGGAAAATTTTGCTCAGTCTAGAGGACGATTATGGTCTGGAGTGTCTAATTAAGGATCCAACCAGAATTATGCCTACATCTGAAACTCTTCTGGATGTGATCCTTACTAACAAGCCAGAGCTTTTTAAAGCAAGTGGAGTACTAAATCCAGAAATGAGTGACCACCATCTAGTGTATGGGATTATGAAGCATAGGGTGTCTCAGCATGAAAGAAAAGTAGTTACATTTAGGAGTACTAAAACACTGGATGTTGAAAAACTCAATGAAGATTTATCTTGTGCTCCATGGAACGTAATAGATACCTTTAATACTCTTGATGAGAAGTATCTTTTTTGGGAGTCCCTTTTCAACACCATAGTAGAGAAGCACATGCCTACTAAGAGAGTGAGGTTTCGTAAAGTCGATGTGCCATACATGACACCTGAATGGAAAAGGGCAATCAAAATGAAAAGGAAATTTGCCAAGCAATATGCCCAAAGCAGAACAGAGGAAAACTGCGAGCTCAAGAGAATATGGAGAAATAAAGCTACTAGCTACAGACGAAAATCTATCAAAGAATATTGGAAACAAAAGGCAGATGACCTTAAAGCTAAGCCAAGCGAGTTGTATAAAACCTTCAAGCCATTTCTTAGCGATAAGAAGTAGCCTATAGGCGAGATCCACATTAAAGCAAACGAGAGAATTGAGAAGGACCAAGAAAAAGTAGCAAATGTTCTGGCAAACTACTTTTCTACGATGGCCAATGATATAGGTGGAGCAGGTGTCAATTGCTTAAATGAGGACAATTTGTCGAGTCATCCAAGCCTCACTAACATGTGCAATGCAAATAAGAGCAACCTCAAGAACTTCTACTTTCAATCACTCAGTAGAAATGCAGTTAAGTTAGCCCTTGAGAAACTAAACGTTAGAGAGGCCTGTGGTTATGACTCTATGTCTTCTAGAATGTTAAGGCTAGCCTCAAGTGGCATAGCAAATTCCTTAACAAATCTTTTTAATGAGTGTATAAGGAAAGATGAATGGCCTCAAGCATGAATGAAAGGAGAGTGGAGTCCAGTCCACACTGAAGAAGGATAACCGGCCGCGGATGAAAGAAACTATCGTCCAATAACATTGCTAAATACAGTAGATAAGGTTTTCGAGTCTATGATCAGCATACAAGTGAATAATCATATTGATTCCAAGCTCAATCCCTGCATATCGGCATTCAGAAAAAAACACAGTACTGTTGTGAAACTACTTTGCTAAAACTGACTGAAGATTGGAAGCTGGATGTGGATTCTAAGCAATTTATTGGAATACTGTCAACAGACATGAGTAAAGCATCAGTTGAATTCCCTACATCCATCACTCATGATAAATAAACTTAAGGCGTATGGCTTTTCAGAGGAATCTCTCAGCTTGATGAAATCATATTTCTCCAAGCGACAAAACAGAGTCAATTAACTAAATGGAGTCACCTGCAGTTTGAAGGATGCTATTAGAGGATGCCCTCAGGAGTCATCATTTGGACCCTTACTGTGGAACATTTTTCAAAATGATATGACCTATATAGTGCAAGCTTGTCAATGTACGCAGACGATCATCAGCTGTATGTAAAGGGGTATTCAGTTGACTGCGTGGAACAACTTTTAACTAATGGGGGGCACACCATATCAAAATGGTACAAAGAAAACTTTTTGAAGGGAAATTACGACAAGTACAATTTAATGTTATTAGGCAGGAAAAACAAAAACGAGGATAGTCCATCTATCAATATTAAGATTGATGAACAGGTTATTAAATCATCACCAGACTTGAAGTTACAGGGAGTAACACTAGATGATGAACTTAGTTTCAGTACTCATATAAGTGATATATGTAAAATGGCAAGTAGGAAAGTTGGTGTTCTAGTACGTCTCAGAAAAATGATTCCCGGAGAAGCCAAGTTACAATTGTACAAATCAGCAATTCTACCTAACTTAACATATTGTCACATAGTGTGGCATTTTTGCAAAGCATCTGATGCAAGAAAATTAGAAAGGGTACAAGAATGGGCATTACGTGCTGTATATAATGATAGAAACGCTACGTATGAGGAACTCCTAGA